CCAAAAAGATATAATTAATTGTAAACAAATCCAAGTATGAACTCTGCTAAAAATCACTTTTTGATTTTTTTTTTAAATCACCTTTGTAAATAGCATGACTTATCAATCAATTTACAAAGAGCACACTGAGATCTGGAAAGAAAAAACAAAAACCCAGATAGAATCCATAACAAGAACAAAGAGAGAGAGAGAGAGAGAAAAAGAGGAGATTAAGACCTTGCAAGGACGGTTCTTGATGACTATATAGCCATTCTTGCGGATAGTACCAGCTTGCTGAGGGTAAGTCTTGGAGGCTCCTGCATCAGCCTTCGATTCAAAGTGGTGCTCCTCGTCCGACATGTTGGTTGGTTCGGTTCTCTCTCGAGCAGGAAAGGAAAAAATAATGGACAAGGATGATGACTTCTCGAGACAGAAGAGGACAGGGCACCGCCACTTCTATTTTATGCCTTCCTTCGATACAGATAGACAGATAAAAAGATGGAGAGAGTTTGAGTTTGGAGACAACACCTTCTCAACCCTGGTTAATGTTTTCGTCCAATCTTGACCGTTGGATCCTTTCCTTGAGTTTAGCTTAGCTTAGCTTCCCACTTCTTTTATAACTTTCTTTTCGAAATTTTGTATTTTTTATGTAATATAAATATATTTATATATTGGTTTTACTGTATCTTATTTAAATTTCAAGGAATGGTTGGGGGAGAAAAAAACACTTCAGGTTAAACGTGAATAATTCATATAAATTTTTTATTCTGCGGTAATATTATTTTTAAAATAATTTATATAATAAATTAAATTACATTTTAAATCCTAATCAAACGCTTGAAAATCAAGTCCCACGTTACATGTTTCATTATAATTATAAATAATGTCTCAATCATTGTGACTCCATTTTTAGAATAACAACACTTTTCTTTCATATGATTTGTTGATAACTTAAAAAATTGATAATGCTAAAGAAAGGATTCAGGATGGAGTGTGCTGATTTTTAATTAAAAATATATTATAATAATATTTTTATTTTATTTTTAAATATTTTAAACACTAGTATATCAAAATATATATCAAAATATCTAAAAATATTAAAAAAATTAATTTAAAATAAAATAAAATAAAAAATATTTTAAAAAATACTTTTAAAACACAAAAATAAACTAATCCTATTCTTTTTTTTATATGATATATTAATAATGTCTATCCCAAGTTCAGTACTTTAAATTTTGTGGTAAGTATTTGTAATCTCACTTTTGAGTGGCAAAATATGCTTGATGTAGAAAGTGATTTTATCCCATTAATTTCTGCTGCATAGACGGAGATTTCTCTCCATGTTTTACAGATAAAAATAAAAAAAGATTCTTCAAAAAGGATATAGTAATAAAAAGCTGAAAGAATTCGAATTTACTAATTCTATTTTCCCGACTTTTTTCAGTGATGACCTTCTTTTTTTTTTTTATCCTCTTGTAACTTTCCTTTACCTTTCTCTTAATTTCTTTGATTTTTTTCTCGTTCTCTCTTCTTTTGGGAACCTTGGAAGGGATGCTTTGTCAGCATATTCTTCATTTTTTTCCAATTGCTGTCGTCCACTCATTTTTCCAGCAAGATGTTATATATATATATATATAGGCATATTTTCTATTTTTGTTTTCGTGCATCTTCTTCTGTATTTACGAGTAGCATCTGGTGCTTAAGGCCAAGATGCCAGGATTCCCACCTTCTCAAAATACACATCTTTTATTATGGTGGTCATCTAGCATAAAAATCCAGCAAAATAAATAGATCATACTCAAGATGATTAAATAAAATAAAATAATAAAATTAAAAATTACTAACTCTTATTACTCCAAGTAAAAATAAATTCGTTACTCTATAATATATTTATAATATATTTATACTAGTATAGTTAAAGTATTATTATAAGAATGAATCAAACAAGCTGTTAAGTAAAAAAATTAAAAAAAAGTGAATATAATTCCAGTTCGGATTGATAACTTCAAATATTTTTTTTTAATTTTAAAAATTAGTACATTGGAATTACAAAAAATATTAATTTAATATTTTTTAAATAAAAAATACTTAAAAAAAGATAAAAACAGAAATTATGCTTAATAACTTTAAGTTGTTAAGAAGAAGACAAAGAAATAGCTAAAGGTAAATATGATAATAGTTTATGGAAAGATTAGGATTTAATGGTGTATATAATACTAAAGTGATAATGGAGAATCAATGATGCCAACCTCCAAAAGGTAGAAGAAAGGCAAGTTCTTTTTATATTACAAAACAAAAATTATGTAGTCAAATCAGCATGATGCGGTCTAACTGTTTTTTCACACATAATGGTAGGGCTATGTAATTATTTTAAAAAAAAATTATATGAGATTTTGATTATGTTTTATAAATTTGATTAATTTAAATAGTACAAATAAAAACATAATAATAAAAAATAAAATAAAATAAAATTATTAAACTTAGTTATCAAACAACATAATAATATATTAAAAAATAAAATTAAAAAATATATTTTTATAAAAATAATTTAAAAAATTAAATCAATTTGCGTTAACTTATTAAACTAATAAATATAAATATAAAATTAAAATAACCTTTTAAAAATGAAAGTATAGTTTTATATTTTATATTTTTTAAAATACTAAATTATTTTTTA